CAGAAAAGGGAAATCAATGTTTAGTTTGGAGCAGGAAAATTTGGGCGCCCGCCGTCCGCTAAGGGGACGACGAGGGAGATGGTGTTTAATGGAGAGAATAATGGGGTACGTACAGAACATGAATTTAGGTAATGCAAATGATAAACAGGATATTTGTTTTGTTTTGGCTTGTGCCCGGTCTTATTTTTTTTATATTATTCTTTTACTAAAAAGGGTGAATTTTTTTTTTCAGAGATTTTTATTTTCATGGACGCAAAAGGGAAAAAAATAAAATGACGAACGTTATGTTTTATTGTGACTCTATAGATGGCGTAGATAGGGGCGACCGTTGTCCCCAAAATATATTTTTATCTATATATAGATTTTTATATATAGAGGGTTCATTTACTTTGTGGGAACGGATAAAATAGTTTTGTGACTTCCACTGTTCAGTGTATCCATCTTCTGTTTCCCAAATCGGATTAAAGACTTATTTATATTTGTGACATCTTAAACCCATGTTTATTTCCTTTGATTTCCTTTTGTGGGTTTGATATCCATTTACAATTTTTTCCTTTTTGTGGGTTTGATATCCATTTACAAAATCGGACCAAAATGGGGGATATTTGTGTTAGAGTAGAATATTCGCGGTTCCAATTTGTTTGGATTTTTTTTTCTACTTGTAAAAATAATTTATTAGAAATTATATTATTTTGAGACATTGCGTTGTCTTATGTTTTTACATTTATCACATATTTACACATATGATAAAGTTTTTAGATCATTATTAGCTATGATGCACGGTTGTGAATTTGATGACAATCATGGAAAATGTCTTTAAAACTATGATTTTAAATAAGTTTCAAGTTGATGGGTGTTTCGAAATAGGACATTGAATAACTCGGTAAGATTTGTGTATATGTTGCATGCTCGTTGAACGTGGATGTTGCATTCCATCAACATTAGCATGTGGACGCAAATGAATATATGCGGGTGCTTGTTGGAAACAAGTTCACTGAACATGTCCCATGAACCAAGCTGGTCCCTTGGTCCAAAAGAACCATGTGCACCGAGCCCTAGCAAACCGCGCCTAAGTTTTGCGCGTGGCCGTGCTTAAACCCAAGTCTTGGCTTAATTATCATGGATATTTTCTAAGTATTTGAGGCAGTAAGTCCAGCATAATAATGGGTCTTGAAGTGGTGAAAAACCTCAGCCCAAAGTGGTAAGAATTCAGCCCAAGTCGAGGCCTAACCCATGCCCGCGCATAAGCCGCGCCTAGCCGCGCAAGGCCCAAATCCATGGCCCAAGGAGAGAAAATCCGAGCCCAATCATCATGGCCCAAGTCATGCGAGTCAAGAGGGATCAAAGGAGGGAAAACTCAGGTTTTGAAGTGGTCCAAAACGTGGTCAAGTGTACTAGTCTTGTGCTATGTGAAGTGGTTCCCCAAATTAAGGAAAAGTTGTCCCTTGGTCCCCTTCCACTCACCTCCACAAGACCAGCCTTGTCCCCTCCACTTATGGACCATCTTGGACAGCTAAAGGTCAGCTACAAGACTCCTTAAAACGTGGAAGCATGCCTTAAGTCACTCCAAGACAAAGTCCACGAAATTAGGGAAGCATGTCCACAAGAAGGTCTTGCCTCACCTCGAGCCGCGCGAGTGGAGCTTGTCTCCCATTTGAATTCGGTTTTGTACCCAAGGCAAGCTTGTTCCCTTAGCCTTTGTTCAACTATTGGATGTCTTAGACCAGACTTAAGTCAGCAACCAAGCCCCTTAAATCGTGGAAAGGCTGTCCAAAGCAACACTAAGAAGTGCCCCCTCCTAGAGCCGCGCGAGTGGGTGGATGTCCCCCACTTTGTCTCCCACCTCAAAGTCTTGGTCTTTTCCCTTGACCACGTTTAAAATCTCTCTCCCCAGCATTTTTCAAGCTCTTGGACACTTAGAGAACTCATAGTTTTGAGAGGAAGAGAGGGGAAAACCGAGAGCACCAACAAGGCCCATACCGCGCGCGTGAATGAGAAGGAAGGAGAGTGATTGAGTTTCACCAAGTTCATTTCGTTTTCTCTTGAGACTTAGCACCTTCCAAGTGTTTCTTGGATTTTTCTAAGTCTTTGGAGCTCAACATCTCAGCCATTCATCCTTCTAATCGAGCCTTAGTCCTAAGGGCCCCGAGTAGAGCACGAGAGAGAGCACCTAGCATCATTTCGAGTTTGGTGAAAGGTAAACTCGTGTTTTTCATTTTTCTCAGCTATAACATGATAAAATAGGAATTATCATGTAGGAAAATGAGTTCATGAGCATGCTTAAGGATGAGTTTCGAATTTTTGAAAGATAAGCCCTTAAATTCGGATTTTAAAGTACAAGCATGATATGACCGAGATTAATAGCTTAAAAATCCTCATAAATCATGTTTATAACATTGGTAAAAGATGGACAAGTTTTAAGTTCAATGGTTCGGTCAAGTTGATAGTGAAATCGAGTTATTTTCACCTCCGAACCCAAGCCTATGTTCATGCGAGTTAAATGCCATTGTCCTAAGCCTAAAAGTCATGATTTTTGAGGTATAGTATTCGGCCTTAAGCAAATTTATGAGTTGAGAAAGTTCATTCGGTGACCTAGGGTCCGTACGAGCCATATCGGCCCTACCAGACTAAGTATAAACCCAAACCGAGGACTTGTAGTTAAACTTGGTATTTTTTTTACATGTCTTATATCATGTTATGTTGGGTTGAGTCCATTTTCACCGGAAAAAGTAGCCGGAGGTCCGGCAAGGACCGGCCATGGTCGCTGGCCGCACACATGACGCGTGCCGCGCCAGGCCGTGTCACCGAGGCCAGGCCGCGTCTCAGTCCATTGCCCGCGCCNGCCTAAAAGTCATGATTTTTGAGGTATAGTATTCGGCCTTAAGCAAATTTATGAGTTGAGAAAGTTCATTCGGTGACCTAGGATCTGTACGAGCCATATCGGCCCTACCAGACTAAGTATAAACCCAAACCGAGGTCTTGTAGTTAAACTTGGTATTTTTACATGTCTTATACCATGTTATGTTGGGTTGAGTCCATTTTCACCGGAAAAAATAGCCGGAGGTCCGGCCAGTTAGCGAACCAACCGGTTTAGCCGGCGGTTCGAGTTAGTTTTGGTTTGATAATTTCGGTCCGAGTTTTATTCCGAAATTTAAGTATTTTTCCGAGCCAAACCAGATCAGTTAAGCATGTCAGTCTAAGTTCCGGACTTAGTATTATTTTTGTGAACCCTAGAAGCGTTCCTAAATAACCGGATAAGTTATCAGATAAAATGAGCATCTTAGCATATTATTGAGCATATGACGAGCATAGTACTTAGTATAGTTTTGTTTGCTTATATGTTTATGTAGCTTGACGAGTCGGCTACCAGCACCGCAGCACTTACATTTTTCAAACAGATCAGGTGGGGACCCAGCCTGGGTAGTACATTGAGTTTAATATCTGATATCACGTCGAGGTATGTATGTGAGTTGCCAGTATATTCGCTTAGGGTGGAGGCGCAGTAGCCTTAATTGCCCATCCGAAGCCCAGTTTATCCACTTAGGGTTGAGGCCCAGAATTCCTCCCCTAGGTTCCGATGGAGGCCTAGCTTTGCCTTAATTGCCCATCGGAGTGTGCACACGGTCCGGCTCAGCGTGTCCGGAAAGTTCAATTCAGTTACCGGCCAGTTGTCCGGGAGTACTCATATATACCTGTGTTGTGATATCGTTATTAATCTTGATGTTTACTTTAGTATGGGTTTTTATGGAGTACAAGAGGATCAGTACTCACCCCCACTTTGTTTTTCAGATGACAGGGTCGGCGGGCAGGCGTGAGTCCAGCAGTGGTGGTTGTGGTCGTGGCTTTGGCACAGCTAGCCGATTCGTGGACATTTGATTATCTACATCTGTATAATTATTTATTCCACGCATTTTATGATTTCCGCTACGTTCACTTTGATTCGATCTTGCATGAGGATATTTTCCAAACTTAACATTTTACCCGGTTCGCCAGCATCGAACGGGTCCAACTTAACATGCAGGTTTCGATAAAGGATTTAAAATCTGATCTTCTAAAAAGTCTAAACCAGTCATTAGACTTTGATAAAAAGAAAAAAAAAAGGGGGGAAAACGGATTTTAACAAGTAAGTTTTTAGCGGCAACCCGAACAGTTTGCAAAGGATTTCGAAATAAGTATAAGTGTTTTCGAAAAAGAAATTGCGAAAAATTGGCCCTAAAATAGCGGGTTGTTGCACCTGCACACAGTAGTAGTAAATACTCTATTTTTCTTAGTTTCAGATAGAAATATAATATTTGGGTGGTGGATTCTTCTAGAATCCTTGATCTGGAAAACTGTAGATGGCCCACCCAGTCCTCTACAGTTCCACACCATGGCCTTCATTGGTCACATTAGGGCCATTTGTGGCTGGCCTTCTCCACCAATAGTTGAGCATTGCTCCCTTTCTGTTTTTCGTCACTGGGTTCCCCTTCCTCACGCTCCTGCAAACCCTCATAGATAACCAGATCTCTCCTTCTTTTCAGTTGGCTATGAGCATTGGTTTCCTTTGAGATCACAATACCCTGGATTTTGTTAGATTTGGCTGGGATTTTCCTCTTCCACATAGAACCAGGTCTCTTCCTCAGATTGTAATAGCACTCGTGTTCCACTTTCTCTTCTTGGCTAATCTCCACACCTTTATGAGGTTCTTCTGTTTCCATTAACCCCCCAACATCTGTCTCAGCAATCAACTCCATTTCCACAATTTTCAATGCTTCATCAGTCTGTTGAGTCACTGTCATGTCCACTTTCTTGTTGGCTGCTGAGTTAGGGCCTATGGGTTGGATACTATGTTCAATAAGGCCAGGATTATGAGCATTTCCAGTAGGAGCCCTTCCAGGTGTCAAGTTATCAGATACCCTTGAGTCTTTATTGGCATTTGATTTAGGATTTGTGTTCTTCTTCCCAGAATGTGCACTA